TTTTGGATAGGTGAGTTCTTAACTGGCCAACACTCAGCCCCATACATCATGGCCGGTCTAACCACCGCTTTATAGAACTTATCTTTGAGTATCATTGGCACTCTCTTGTCACACAAAACTCCGGATGCTAACCTCCACTTCATCCATCCTACCCCAATACAGTGCGCGACATCCTCATCGATCTCCCCTCCCCCGTGGATAACCGAACCAAGGTACTTGAAGCTTCCTCTACTTGGGATAACATGTGATTCAAGCCTCACATCCACGCCCACTTCCCCCGGCTCAGTGCTGAACTTACACACCAGGTATTTCGTCTTCATTCTGCTCAGCTTGAAACCTTTAGACTCAAGAGTCTGTCTCCAAACTTCTAGTCTCTCGTTAACACCGGCTCGTGACTCATCAATCAGAACTATGTCATCGGCAAATAGCATGCACCATGGCACCTCCCCTTGAATATGGTTTGTTAATGCATCCATCACTAGGGCGAATAAGAACGGACTGAGCGCAGAGCCTTGGTATAACCCCATTTCAACCGGAAAATGCTCTGAGTCGCCTCCTACTATCCTAACCCGAGTCTTATCCCCATCATACATGTCCCTAATCGCCCTAATATAGGGAACCGACACACCTTTAGTCTCCAAGCATCTCCAGAGAACTTATCTAGGAACCTTGTCATACGCCTTCTCTAGGTCAATAAACACCATGTGCAGATCCTTTTTTCTCTCTCTGTACAGTTCTACCAACCTCCTAACAAGGTGTATAGCTTCTGTGGTAGAACGATCCGGCATGAACCCGAACTGGTTGTAGGATACAGACACTGTCATCCTCATCCTCGCTTCGATGACCCTCTCCCATACTTTCATGGTATGACTCAGTAATTTAATACCCTTATAATTGTTACAACTTTGGATATCACCTTTGTTCATATACAATGGAACCACCGTACTCCACCTCCACTCATCCGGCATCCTCTTCGCCTTAAAAATAACATTAAACAACCTAGTCAACCACTCCAAGCCTGCTCTCCCTACACACTTCCAGAATTCCACCCGGATCTCGTCTGGCCCGGTAGCTCTGCCCCTACTCATCTTACGCATAGCCCCCACAACCTCCTCAACCTCGATACGCCTGTAGAGCCCGAAGTCACGGTGACTCTTAGAATGCTCCAATTCGCCTAGCACAATATCCCGATTCCCTTTCTCATTCAGAAGTTTATGGAAGTAAGCCTGCCATCTCCTCTTAATCTGGGCATCTTCCATCAGTATCCTACCATCTTTGTCCTTGATGTATCTCACTTGGTCCAAATCCCGAGCCTTCCTCTCTCTTAGCTTGGCAAGCCGGAATAACTTCTTCTCCCCGCCCTTTTCCCCTAGTTCCTCATATATCTGACCGTAAGCCGTAGTCTTAGCCTCCGTGACTAACAGTTTAGCTTCCTTCCTAGCTACCTTATATCTTTCCATGCATGCTTGCCTCTCCTCCTCACCTATGCTCCCCACTAACTTCATGTATGCTGCCTTCTTCGCTTCCACTTTACCTTGGACCACTTCATTCCACCACCAGTCTCCTTTATGCCCACTAGAGACACCGGTCGAGACCCCTAATACCTCTCTCGCAGACGCCCTTGCAGTCTGCTGTTGCTGACCACATAGTGTTTGCGTCCCCACTGATCCTCCAAGCACCCATAGCCGATAGTCGCCACTCCAACTCTTTGGCTTTATCCTTAGTCAAGGCTCCCCACCTGATTCTCGGTGGTCCCCGAGCAGTTCGTTTCCTCCTCTTAAACCTAATACCAACGTCTAGCACCAAGAGTATATGTTGCGCCACGAGTGACTCACTCGAAATGACCTTGTAGTCCTTACACAGCCCGCTGTCACACCTCCTGAGGAGGATATAGTCAGTTTGAGTCGTCGCAACCGCATTTTGAAAAGTAACCAAATGCTCATTCCTCTTCGTAAATCTAAAGTTCGCAATCACCAACCCGAAAGCCTTAGCGAAGTCCAATAGCATGGTACCTCCTCCGTTCCTCTCCCCAAAACCAAAGCCTCCATACACCTCGCCATAACCACCTGCAGTTGCTCCAATATGACCATTGAAATCCCCTCCTATGAATAGCTTCTCGGCAGGCGGAACCTGGCGCACAATCTCATCTATCCCCTGCCAAAAGCGTCGTTTAACCTCCTCATCTAGGCCCATATGCGGTGCATAGGCGCTAATGACGTTTAGGGTGAACTCACCGACCACCAACTTAATAACCAACAACCTATCATTCACTCGTCTAACTTCGACCACAGACTCTCTAAGTTCCCTATCCACCAAGATACCCCCTCCATTCTTACCTCTCTCGACCCCTGAGTACCAAAGTTTATACCTGTCCACATCCTTCGCACTCGACCCTACCCACCTTGTCTCCTGGACACACGCTATATTGACCCTCCTCTTCCGGAGAATCTTCGCCAACTCTATCGTCAATATACCTACGTGCCATGACCCGATTCTTAACCTATAAGCACCCTTGCTCCCTCTACCTCCCTTGCCTCCCGACCCACCCCCTAACCCCAGCCCTACCTCCCGCCCTACCCCCTACTCCCCCCGAGGACATGACCTCACTCGTCCATCCCATACCACAGCCACTATACCTATGACAGACTAAGAGGAATCACTAACACACACAAGGCAACAGACCAAGTTAGACAAAGACACTATACAACTATAAGCGCACTAATACGATGAATAAACAAATAGGAACAAAGAATGCAATAATTCAACTAACACAATAAAAGAAAATGAATAAGGGGAGGTAACAACTCCCGCAAGTAGAACCTGGGGATTGTCTCGATATATACAACAATGTTGACTTTCGACTTGGTGTATTCCGTATGTTGAGAGACCCGACGCACTGCCCTTGTTCCTGCCAGCTGGAATGCTCAACTAATTTTGCGCGTGCACTTCCCTCCCGCCACTAAGCGGCCACAAAAATGCTACCTGTAACACACAAAACACACCACGGGACCAAGAAAAATAAAGGGATACAGGGCTGCCACCGTCACCTCTGATGAACACCGATCTGGTGTTGGTCCAATTGGTCATCGGACCGGTCTGACGTCGCCGGAGACACAGTGGGCAGAGCAAGAAGAAGAAAAGAAGAAAGAAGGAGAAAAGAGGAACAGGGGATGAGCTGCAACCAGACTAAATAGAAGAAGAAAGAAGAGATGGCGCTGGCGCACAAGTCGGCGGAAAAAATGCCTGCTTCTAGGGTTAAGAGGTAGGAGAAAAAGAAAAAGTGAAAAGAAAAAAAATGAAAAGAGAGAAGGGAGGAGAGAGAGACTAGAGGGAGAGGAGAGAGGGGGGGAGGGTCGGGGGCACTTACCTGGTCGCCGTCGCCGGAGGGTTCGCCGATAACAATCGTACATTTTTAAACGTTAAACGTTAAATCTGATTTCGAGGAGAGAAAAATGAGAGAACCTTGATCACTTTAAATAATACTCCTTAATTTTAGTTGTGGACATCCACAATCGACAACAGAGCCCTAGAAAATGAATTAAATTTAGAAAAAACCAGAGGTTGGGTAAGGGCTTGAAATTAACCCGAGGGGAAGGTGTTAGGCACCCCTCAAGATCCACTAGTGTGGTTCCCGGCCATGCTACAATTGTGACTTTAAATACAAAGAAGTAAATAAGCAAGCATTGCAAATGCTAGGTAACTTTCACATGATGGTTGCAAATAAAAGAAGTACAAGAGGTTTAAAGGGTGCTAAAATTTGGAAGACGGAAGTTTTACAATTAAAGAAAAGATACACAAGTAGAGGGGAAGGGGTCAAATAATTGATGCAGGTAATTTGAAAGGAAGTGAAAGGGGCAGAAGTTGGGAAGAAACAGTACCTGAAAATCAGACAATTAAAGAGAGATTTGCATAATATGTGCAAGTAATTGAAGTAATAGAAAAAATTGAAGAAACTGAAAACTAAACAGCTTTAAAATTCTTGAAAAATAAGGTAAACAAGAGAAGAGGAAAGGGGGTCCTAGGTTATAAATAACATGGATAACCCCACACAACACCCGATAACCATTTATACACGTGGTGTTATCGCGTGGTCAACATATCCATATCTACTCTTATCCACCCCGTTAAGGTATTAAATCGCAGAATGGTCTCGTTGCTTATTGCATGCCATTACCCGTCCCAATCCTATCCGCCCCGGAGGTATTAGGGGCTACTAGTCCTAAAGGGGAGGAAAATTTGACTTTTAGAGTTTAAAAAGGACAAAAGTCTAAGGCGGCATTCAAAACATACATGATAAGTATGGGGAAGCACATAACAGACAAGGCTCAAACAAACCTCCTTACAACATACAGAACATATAGTTTTAGCATGTCTTTCAGATACTGATTAGGTCTTTAATTAGACTTAAACGTTAAGGCGTGGCTGATTTATTACATATTTTCAGATAAGAAGTCCAAATTAGGCCTGCCTGCTGGTTGTAATTATTAAAGACTGGTGTAGTTAATTAATTACCTAATGGTTTGCCTAGATGAGACATATAGGCATGATATCTAGCAATGTGAAGTATACCGATTTTAAAGAAAGCTTTCTGATTATAGACAAACTTAAGCTCGGCAGATGTTGAATATCGAAACTGTTGATTTTAGACTTGATTCAGATTCAGTTGATTACCCTTTATAGACATACTTTCTAAGCGTGACTGGTTTTAAAACGTTTACAGAAGTGCGAGGGTCCTATAGGCATGGTATCTATAATGCAATTTTTTGTTATTTTAAACCTATAAACCGTTTGCCTAGTGATAGATGCAAAAATGCAGAATTTAAAAGATCCTATAGACAGGTTATCTACATGATGCAAGAATGCAGAAACCTATAGTCATGGTGTCTATATGAGTGCAGAACCTTAAGGACATGGTATCTATATATGCATAAATGCAGAACTATAAGCAGGGTTTCTATATGAAATGCATAGATGCAGAACTATAGACAGGATTTCTATATGCATAAGTGCAGAACTATAGCAGGATTTCTATATGGCATGCATGAGTGAAGAACTATAAGAAAGATTTCTATATGGCACGCATAAGTGAAGAATATAAGCAAGATTTCTATATGGCATGCATAAGTGAAGAACTATGAGCAGGATTTCTATATGACATGCATAGATGAAAAGCAGGATGAGATTGCAGGAATAAATACCTAAGAACATGATGTCTACCCATATGCATACATGAGTGATCCTCCCCTTTTCACTATACACCTCATATGTTATTACAAATTATTACAACCCAGAATGAATAAAGAAAAAGAAAAATTACATCACATCAGAAATTAAAGTACAAGCAAAGAGAGCCTAATTTAGACTCCAAGTCTGAAACATGAAATAAACCAACTCCAAAGATCTGATTTCCAAAGCCTTTCTCATTCTTGGGTGTGTCAGAGTTCCCAGGAGCTTCATGAACTCCGGGCAGTACTTACACCCAAATAAGTTGCAGAATTGAATTAAAGGGCAGTGTGGAAGGGCCAGCCCTCAAATGTCCAAGTTCGAAGGAACTCAAGGTCCCCAAAGCAAGGCTTATAGGAGGGGGCAGAACTTTGAAACTAGGAATGAGTGTAAGTGCAAGAGAGGGGATTCTGGGAAGGCCATGGCGGGCTGGTGGTCATACCCAGCAATTAGGAGTGCTGGCACACCCCTAACCAGCATGTTAGCTACATTTGTTTGGGAGTTAGAATCCATTAAGGATCAGGTCCAAACATGAGCAGAAATTTAGATACCGCCATGCCTGGACCTTAACTCAAACACATAGAGGGAATAGGGGTATAGGGATTCACAGTAGAAAACAGGTGCAAAGAGAATAGCATACAGATTAATCACTGAACATGGACAGTAAAGTAAACAGGATTGCAGAAGCTGTAAATAAACACATTGGTGTGATGTCTAAAACTAAATTAGGACATACCAGTTTTAGAAATAACCAGAGAAAAAGTAGAAGTAAATCCCAATTGCAAGGAAACAGCCAGAAGAAACTTAGATGAGAATGTGGAACTATTGAAATTGAGAGTGTGAGGTGAGTAGTATAAGCTAGAAGTGTGTAAAAGTATTGAATTTGAAGTTGTCTTAAAGAGTATTCAATTGTCTTTGTCTTAAGTGTAGAAGGGTAGTCCCCTTTTATAGTGAAGAAGGGTAGTCCCCTTTTATAGTGCAGAAGGCAAGTAAGAAAAGGTAAGAAAATAGCTTTGCAATCAATCACATAAAATCTCCCTTTAGTTAAGGGATTCAGATTTCAAATAGGTAGAAGACAGTTAAGGAAAGAATTTGACTGAGATCTTTTCCAAAGTAACACAAAAAGGGTAAATACATAGGAGTTTATTTAAGGAAAAAGTCCAGTGGTACACGGTTTGTGAAAGAATAAGGAAAGGGAATCAATCAAATAGCCGGTAAAATCAAAATTGCAGGCCTTGATCGAATGAACCAAGTCAGAAAAAGAGAGGAAAGGGTTTTACTTAAGGAAAGTCAATAACAATCAATCAAACCTTACTAAAAGAATTCGAAATCAATCAATAATTGGCAAGACCTTTTTTGAAAGAAGAACTTCTCGTATATAAAGCACACAAATATCAAACATATAAGGAGTTGTCATGCTGATTAGAAAAGATTATCATAGAAACAGTCATAAAAAGGTTCAGGTCAAATTTATAGACTCAGAACGAGTCTGAGAGTTTGGGGTTTTAAAGTAGAACCCCAGTCCAAACACAAAGATCGAACTTTGCCAAAGAAACCCCCAAATCCTAGGGTTTTAACTCAAATCAGATACAGAGATGAGAGGGCAAACCATTGAAACAAACTCAGAGGTCTCTTTTAAAGACTCATGAGAAACCAACAGACATGATAGCAGATTTGAAAGCATAAAGAACATGTTTGAGAAAAGCTCGGGATTTAAGCAAGTTCAGAAGAGAGAAGAAGTGATGTAAACTTAAGAAACAGTAAAGGAGGCATGCTTAGAACTCAAACAAAAGTCTAGTAAATCAAACAAACTTAAGAACTCAGTAGGAAACACATTCAGTAGAAGAATACTGAAAAATATAGCAAAGAACATGTAGGAAATCATAACAAAATTTAACAAGCGAGCCTAGTCTAAAGGCACAGTAGAATACAAAGGTATAGAATAATCGTGTTTAGAAGAAAATAGAAGA